AATAATGGATCTTATAAGATAACCGACCAACTGCTCTCGTAACTACGCATTGGTAAGTTTCGCATATAACTGCTGGAAGCCTTTCCTGGCGTTGGCAGACATATGGTAAGCATTACACTGTTAGTTGTTTGAAACCTGCGAAATTAGAAGCGGTGAGCGTTCTGCGGCAACTGTAACCGCGCATATTTGCTAGGCGATATGACGCTGGTTTCTGAGTATTCAGGTCTGCTTTCCTAATATCCTTTCCATCTCTTATAAAACTACATGCGAAGTGTGTGACATATCCGCCTTCTAAGAGTGAAACTGCCGTCCTTGGAAATCTACAGAGTACACTAGAAAAGGCCTTATAAGATACCGTTGTTTGCGACAGGGTTCACCGACAGCTTGTCCCCCGAAACTTAGCTAGTAGCTTACAGTGGTTCGACTTCTTAAAAGATCGTGCCGTATACGTATTGCAGCCTGGTAACGTCGACGAGGCAAGTTGATCAAATTTCCGTTGTTCCTCGTCGAAACTCTGCCGTTGCTGAGGCCATGTTCGAAGCAACCTATATTACTCATGCATACATATAGAAACGCTAGTAGTCTGACGGCTAAAACCAATTGCATTCAATCCTCAAGTGTTCCATTATACCCTGAGAACTCCGATGTCCGTGCGCAGAAAATACGGCCTGAAGCCTATGCCCTCACGATTCTTAAATTCACTCAAAGATTTACCCGTCTGAGAAAATTCAGACAACAGATATATGCTTATTCGTCGTAAGTGGTTGTTCATGTTCTTATTTTCAAAGGTTTGCACTGGTGAATTTGTGTGTTTGATGGTTTCAAACCGCCTACTTCTAACGCAGTCTACATCTATCCCTTCTCTCACGTCATTCAAGACGCGGACTATCTCATCAGTGCACACATCTACAAATGGATGCCTTTCGCAGCCATTATGATTTCTATCCCTCACATGGTTAATGGAGTTCTAACCGAAGTATTGCATATAACAGCACCAACAAAACACGCAGAGGTGGAGTTTATGTGCTTGCAAAGTATCCAGTCTCTCGCTATGCTCTTATCATGTCCACAACTGGCTTTCCGAAGGAAACCACATAAAACTACTTTTTTAATAAGTCAGGCATTTCTATGGGAACATTTCGCATATGAAAGGCTTTACAATCGAGTTTGAAACCGACAACAATTCAGTTTTCGCCTTCCGAAATATTGGGCTACCATTTTGTCGTCCGCAGGCGAATTCGTTGACTAGTGATTAATTTCTTTACTTGACCCTGTAGTCCACAGTGTCCGTACACATATTTTGAAGAAGAAGACACGATCGCCGGGACAATAGCTTTATTAGCCTGACGTTTCGGATTCCTGCTCGAATCCATCATCAGAGACATAAGCAGATAAGGGTGGTTCATGCACATGCGGCTGCAGTATTTATAGGATGCAGTAGCCATGCCGCCGCATACCTATGAATATTCACGGCTCCCTCCCCTTCATCAGGGATCGTTGCACGTGGCGTGATGGCCGATATTCGCGTCGTTAATTGCTGCAATTTCATCACGTGCGTTGGATGTTGGTGTGATGATTGCTCGACCATCTGACACGCTGACCCGGGTGTTGGGAGGAGTGTTCATCAGGGCGCTCCCGCGTGGCCAATTTCTCCGCCTAGACGAAGTCTCAGCACGCTGTATTGAATGGGAAGATCATTGCACTTGTTAATAGACTGGGGGCCAGTGAACCATGACTCAAGCAGCTCCCGGCTCACGCGGTTGTCACCTCTTGCGA